ATTGCTTGAGTTCAAGCCTGGCTCTACCATTTGCGACCCTGAACAAATTACTTAACCTCTACATTTCAGCTTTCCTATCTGAGAAATGAGGATAAGAAATAAAATATATTTCATACATATGTTTAGTATAAAGATTAAATGAGTTAATTTACATAAAGCACTCAAAACAGTGCCTGGTCTATACATAGCAAGGATGTATGTACTGGGTGGAAAAAAACAAATCATAGTACAGCATAGCAATTATAGTGTGTAGAAAAGTATAACAAATCAAGAAATAGAATTACTTAAAATAGTGACATCAGCCCTGGCTTGTGTGGCTCAGTGAATTGAGTGCCAGCTGCAAACCAAATGGTTCGATTCCCAGTTAAGGCACATGCCTGGATTGCAGGCCAGGTCACCAGTTGGGGGTGTGTGACAGGCAACCGATGTATCTTTCACACATTGATGTTTCTCTCCTTCTCTTTCTCCCTCCCTCCCCTTCTCTCTAAAAAGTAAATAAACTAAAAAAGGAAGAAAGAAAGAAAGAAAGAAGCAGGCCAATGATTCCTGAGACACAATCCCTTTAAAAAAATAATGACATCATTTATGGAAAGATAACAAAGCACTCAAAAAGCATAAAAAAGCAAACTGCTGAACAGTATCAATATTAGAATATGTATAATCATTTCAACTGAATCACAGAAAATTTCGGGATTCAATCAAATATTAATGACTGCCACTGGTGATGCAGGTAAAGGAAGAAGTGAGCAACTTAAATGACACTCTGATATATTTACAAGCACATTTTAGCATAATAATCTTTTTAAAAAGATAATTTTAGACCTAGGGCAGAGTTGCAAAAGTAGTATCGAATTTATATGGAATAGAGAGTTTCACATACCCTTCACCTAGCCTTTCCTGGTATTAGCATCTAATAACAGATGCTAATAACAGAACAGAGGTTCTTAACCAGAGGTGATTTTGTTCCCTGGGGATCATTTGACAATGTTTTTTTTTTTAAAGATTTTATTTATTTATTTTTTAGTGGGAGGAAGAAGGGGAGGGAGAGAGGGAAACACTGATCAGTTGCTTCATATGTGCTCTCCAACTGAAGACCAAACCTGCAACCTAGGCAGGTACCCTAACCGAGAATTGAACCAGTGACTTGCTTTGCAGGAGGAGGCCCAACCAGCTGAGCCACACCTGTCAGGGACTGACAATGCCTTAAGACATTTTTGGTTGTCACAATTTGGAGGGAGGGAAATGTTACTGGCATTTATTGGGTAGAGGCCAAGGATGCTGCTAAATATCCTATAATGCACAGCCTCCACAACAAAGAATTATCCAGCCCAAAATGCCAATGATGCCAGAGCTGAGAAACTCTGCCATAGAATATAAAAATTAAGAAATCAACATTGCTACAATACTATTAGCTCAACTAGGCTTGAATCCACATTGTCACATCTTCTTAGTCTCTTCCAATGTGACAATTTTTATGTCTTCTTTGTCTTGCATAATATTGATGCTTTTGAATAGTAGAATGGCCCTGATTTTGATGTTTTGTCATGATGGGGTTTGTCGGGTATTTTCTCATGATTAGATTGAGGTTATACGTTATTGGGAAGGATACCATTGAGACAATATAACCTCAGTGCATCATACCTAGTGTGCGATGTATTCCTGGTGGTATTAAGGTATCTATTGCTGCAATAACAAATTATCCTACAATTTAGTGGCTTAACATTTATTTTCTCACAGCTTCTTTGGCTCAGGAATCCATGCACAGTTTGGCTGGTGTCAGCAGGGGTGGCTGTGGTCTAATCTGAAGGCTTGACTGCACAGGATCTGCTTCCAAGTTCTCATGTGGCTGCTAGCAGGATTCAGTTGCTAGCAGGATATTTGTCTGAAGACTGCAGTTCCTCGCTTGCTACTGTTCAGGGGGCCTCTCCACAAGGCAGCTCACATTAGCAGCTGGCTTTCATCAATGAACAAGTGAGCAAGCCAAGACAGAAGCCAGTCTCTTTGCAACCTCATCTCAGGAGTGATATGCCATCACTTTTGATATGATTCTCTTTGTTAGAAACTAGGTTTAGCCTATACTCAAGAGGAAGGGATTACACAAGGGTGTGAATACACAAAGCAGAGGGGATCATTAGGGGCCATTTTAGAGGCTGCCTCCCACACCTGCAATATTAACTTTGATCACTTGGTTAAGGCAGTTTCCAGACTTACTATTGTAATGAATAAATACTTTTGAGGAAATACTTTGAGACTGCGCCCTTTCAACATGCTTTCATCCTTTTTGTTTGGGCACTTCCTACTTCCTGACACCACAAGATGCTCCATGCTCAGCTTGTATTTTCCCTGCCCCTATCTCTGGAAACACTCACTTCTCCAAGAAACCCTGGCTTCTTCCATCTGAGAATGCTATTTAGATATCAAGATCTGGGTGGTGGGCATGCTCATTGCTATTAGGATGTCACAGCTTCTGGTCCCTCTAAGTGCAAAAAACAAGGAAATAAATGTATACACACATATCTGCATTTCGACATTGTCTGCATACATAGTAAATAAAAACAATGTCCACACTGATGCTTTCAACTCTAATCCAGTCCTACAGGGTTCATTCTAACCACACCCTTCCACCCACCCGTGCCTTGTTTTATTTGCAACTTCTTTCTCCAGCAATGAGAAACCTGGCTCTCATTATCTACAATATATTTACCCATTTATTCAACTGTGTGTGTGGACATACATGTACATAAATTCCAGAACTGCTAAATCATATCCCTGTGAGGAATATATTTACCAACTAGAGTACAGTGTTTTTGCACACTTTTTGTCTTTAACCTTCCAGTACCCTATCATATACTTAAAATTTTTAAAAAATATTTATTTTTAGAGAGAGGGGAAGGGAAGGAGAAAGAGTGGGAGAGAAACATGTGCAAGATCCATTGGTTGCCTCTCACACACCCCCAGCTGGGTACCTGGCTCTCAACCCAGGCATTTGCCCTGACTGGGAGTTGAACACATGATCCTCCAGTTCACAGACTGGTGCTATGCCATTGAGCCACACCAGTCAGGGCCCCCATCATATACTTTTCCCAAACTTAGGTTAGCTTTCTTCCCCACCTCCTTCAGTGTGGTCATGTGATTCATTTGTAATGCAGGCAGATTCATCTGATGGCCTGCATTTCATCTTTCTTCCTACATCCTTTCTGACAAATGAAGAGTTCTGCATCTACCACCATGGTCCCAGACAGGGCAGTTCCATCACCACAAAAGTCCCTCCATACTGCCCTTTTATGTTAAAAAAAAAAAAAAAAGCTTAACAAAAATCAATAAAATACTAATTAAAAAGAATGGGATATATAATTTATATGGGAAGATGTCAAAAGCATCAAAAACACACTGCATGGTATGTGAATATTATAGAATGTATAATTTCCCAATTGTATAAAAACTATAGGTTGCATTTCAGAAAATGTCTGTATTCACTCAAATGTTAATGACTTCTACTGGTGGGAGGGATGGTGTTAATATGAAACAATTTTTAACAAAACATCTGGATTTTTTAAAAGCAGATATTAACATAGTTATCTGCTAAAAATAAAACTGAAGTTTACACAAATGCACTGGAAAAGTCCTGACCTAGGAGAGAGAAGGGAGTGAGGAGGGCGCTTTTACTGTTAACATGCACTTTTCTATGCTGATTTGAATTTATAAGGAATCACTTTGCCAAGGCTGTTGTGTAGTTTATTATGACTTTTTTTTTTTTTTTTTTGCTTTACTTCAGGTTTTACATTTGTTAATTTCTTTTATATATATAATTCTATCAAATTTATTGGGGTGATACTGGTTAATAAAAGGCTGTCATGGACTTAAGAAATTTTGTCCATGGGGGGTTGTATTTTAACAGGTAAAGGGGGAGACTGAGCTCTAAGCAAGGGTACCAGGAAACAGACATGTCTTAGGGATAGAAGGGAAGCCAAGAGGCGGGTAGAGATGTGACTAATGGGACCAAAGAGAAACATTCTCAACTGACTACAGGCCAGCAGCATCCCAGGCAGCTGGCAGGTTCACCTCCCAAGAAGCTTGGTGGTGAAGGGAAGGCAGAGGCCGGGAGGAGCTTCGGGGGAAGGGAAGGAGCAGTGGGCTAGACTTGACTGTGTTTGTGTACTGAGGTAGGATAGGGCAGGCAGGTCAATACAAGAGAGGAGAGGAAGAACGGAGCAAGGTTCTGGGTGAAGCTCCTGAGAAGGGCTGCGGTATAAGGCTCTGGGAAAGGACAGGGCCAAGGTCGACCTTAGGGTCTATGGCTAGGGGAACAGATACGGGGTGTTTGGTGTGCTGTCTACTTACATCTTGGAGAAGGCTGGAGACAGCGAATAACACCGTGTAGCAGACATCCTGCTGTTTTAATAGCATTAGCTCATTGAAATGTGGGCATTATCATGGTACCCCATTTCAGAGGAGGAAACTGAGGATCAAAGAAGCTTACTTCCCCAAATCCCACTATTAATGAGAGTCAAAATTCAGCCTATGCTGCACTGTCTTGCTCTGTCCAGTAGGATTTCATAAGCGCCAGGAACTGTAGATGCTTAACCATGTTTTATGTCATCTACACTTCACAACACGACAATGAACTATTGGTTCCAGTTAGAAAAGGAAGTGAAGGCTTATGGAGGTTACATAGCTTGCCCAGGGTCACTGTTGGTATCAGAGCTGGGATTCTACCCATCGTCTGTCTGAATCCAGAACCTGTGTTCCTATCTACTACATCTACTGTCCCTACCCAGAGGCTCCTTGGTCTATTAGGATGAAAATAATCTCAAGATCTCTTCCCCTTCGGAAACCCACGGCAAGCCCCAGGGTGCTGGGCTTCCAACGGGCTCCCAGTCTACTGGCTTGCTCTTCCCTCACTGATCCAGTCAATCTTGAGCTCTTACTGAGTAGCTGGGCACCGAAAGCATAGGGACAACAAGATAACAACTTCCCCTGCTTAGACAGCCCTCATTCAAAGATGACAACAATGAAGCTGCTTCTAAGTTTTTATTAACATGACTTTTTAAAAACAAGCATCCATACCAGTGTGGGGGCTGAGTGGGGGAGAAGAGGGGAGAAGTAGGGAGAGCAGAGTGTGGGGAAGGAATTCTGCTTTATTGGTAATAAAGCTCCAGGTTCATCCCATCGTGGATTTCATCTGAAGTAAAGGTGTTAAGGAAACTATGGGCTTGGTTCCCCCCTCTTTCACCTCTCACAGCTGGGACCAGGTAGCCTGAGCGCTCAACTCAAAGTCAAGGAAGCCACTTTGGACTGGGTCATTTTGATTTGAAAAGAATCCAGATTATTTAAAAAAAAAAAAAAAAAGGTTCATGCTCCTTTTGCACAGCCGACTCACTCCACCCTGACCTGTCCACACTAGGTGGAACTAAATAATAAGTATTTTGATCTTAAAGTGTCTTCTAAGCCTCAAAACATTTAACAAGGAAACCACCCTCCTCCTCCAACAAAATAACTGTGACTCCCATTTTCTAAATGCTTACCATATGCTACACACTAAGTTAAATATCTTATTGCATAATTCCAGATTCAGTATTGAACAAAGAGAACCAGGCCACGGTGTATAGACCCTTCCTCAAGATATCACACAAAGGATACAGTCCCCCAGAGAAACATGGTCCTTAAAAATCGTGTACCTGAAAGACAAACACCTTATGATCTCATCTATAAGAGGAATCTAATGAACAAAATAGAATCACAGGCATGGAAACATGGAACAGACTGAAAATGAACAGAGGAGAGGGGGAAGGGGGATAATGGAGGAAAGAAGAGGAACGGACCAGACAAAGAACACGTATGAATGACCCACAGACAGGGACAACAGTGTGGGAATTGACTGTGGCACCGCGCGTGGGATAGGCGGAGGAGGGCAGAGGGGGAAAATTTAGGACAACCGTAATAGAATAACATAGAATACAATACAATAAAAAATGATGTTAAAAAAGTAAACCAAAACCAGACAAAACAAAACTGTGTACCTACACGATAGAAACCTTTCGGACAGAAACCTGAGGTGGCCCTCCGCCCTGGAGGTAAGCTGCGGAAGCCTGCCTAAGCAAAGGGCTTTCTGCAGCATCCCCCCCAACCAAACCTTCTGATCTAGTCCTGCCCAGCCCCCAGCTCTGTCACTGCACTCACCACTTCTTTAACACGATCTTGTTCCAACGGGTACCCGTTTGGGCTGCGATCAGCTTCTTAAGGTCCCCGATGGTGTCATCGGTGCTGGGCGCAGAGTTAAGGAAAATGGTACGGAGTGGGAGAACGCAGAAGAGGACATTGCAGGGCTCAATGCACTTTGCCAGGACCCCATCCGTCCTCTCTACCACACAGACTGAGTTGTCTCACTCCAACGCCCCCCCACCCCCCACCTCCCGCGCCCGGGACCACTGTATCTCCGCCACCGGTGGATACTTGCACTTTACGCGGACCTTCTTCCCCAGACGGTCGTTGCAAACAACCTCGATCATCCTGTCTGGAACGACAGAGGGCAGGGGTTGGGAAGCAGCAGAGGCGGGACGTCGAAGTCTCCCAGGCCCCAAGACCTCCGGTTTAGACTTCCATCCGCTTCCCAACCCCCGAGACGCGAGCCTTCCCGGACCCCAAGTTCCGCGTCCCAGGACCGCGGATCCCACTCAGCCGCGCCTCACCCCCCTCAGGCCGCCTCTTGCGGGACCGTAGACCGTCGATGGCCGAGTCACAACAGCTTTCTCCGACTCCAGGCTACTCCACCTGGCCCCTCACCTCGAATCGTCTGGAACCTGCCGACGCCGCAACCTAGTCGCCCTAGAGCGAAGCCAGGGCCCGAGACGACACTGAGAACCGGAAACGGAAGCGTGCAGCTTAAAGCGCCCGCCCCTCCCCCGGTTCCTATTAACACCCCGTAGCATTCCTTGCGGGACCAGCCCTAGTGCAGGCTTGCGGGCCTCAGGCACGGCTTTGGGGTCCCCGGAGGCAGGGGAAACTTGCGGTTGGTGCGTGGGGCCGAGTGGGGGTCCCAGCCTGTGGGGGGCCGGGGAAGGGGCGTGGAGGGAGAGTCAGAGGTCAGGTGCCGGAGCCCAGCTCCTTGAGGCCCCATTCTCTGTGGGGAGACACCGTCAGTTGGTGGGGACCCTAAAGGGCCCTGGGTGACGTGCCGTTCCTGAGCTGGACGATGCCTTTTACTGCAACTACAGGGGATGGGGGTGGGGGGGCGGCGCTGGGCCGGGGTCTGCATCCCGTCCCACCCCCTGCCTTCATTCTGGGCTGGGCTTCCCCTCTGGGGTGCAGACTGTAGTTAGTAAGCGAAGGAACCACCTGATCCTGGGTCCTGGCCTGGGTACCAGCACTTATTAGAATAGACATTGCGTGCTAATGGCAACAAAAGCGAGGAAGGTGGAAACGGCACACATGCAAAATCTTACAGGTTTTTATGTTCAACAAAGGTAGCTCCCACCCTCAAGGAAGCACTTTGTAGATCTCAGACTTACCTTGTAGCCCCTGTACTGCAGGCTGGTTCCTTAGGGCTGGTGGGACAGGGGGCAGCCCTCCCTATGTTCTGTGGATGAAAAGGGAGTTGTAAAGAAAGTAACCTCACAGGGTGTTCTGATCATAAATTCCAGACTGGGAGGTCACAGTGGGTAGTCCAGTCCCAGACATAGAACGCTTTAGTAAAACCTTTATTTTAGCTTTAAGCAAGCCTTGTCGATTGTTTCTGAGAATGGAGGTTGACACACCTTTGTAATAAGCTTCACCACAATCAAGAGAGCAGATAATCTTGTTAACTATCATGTAATCCAATCCCTGCCTTTCTCTCCTCTCCATGTTGGTTCCCTCCTTAATTTCAAATGTGTAAGAGCTGCAAAACTGTTACTCTGTGGAGTATTTGAGGTCTTCCCAGCATGTCGTCAGTTTGACTCAGATAAACTCTTATAAAAATTCTCTACAGTTTTGGATGTTTCTTATGTTGAAACCACAAGAAAAGGGCTGAGGCTCATTTTCCTTGGTGCCTTTTGGTATTTTTCTGAGATTATCTACAATGAACATGTTACGTTTGTAATGGGGGGGATAGTAAATGGTTTTTTTTTTTTGTCCTCACCTGAGGACATTTTTTTCATTGCTTTTTAGAGAGAGAGGAAGGAGGTGGTGGTGGAGGGAGAGAAACATTGATGTGAAAGAGAAACATCGGTTGGTAGCCTGCCTTACACACCCCAACCAGGGATCGAACCTGCAACCTAGGTACATGCCCTGACTGGGAATCGAACCTGCAACTTTTTGTTGTATGAGAGGAAACTTCAACCAACTGAGCACACTAGCCAGGGCTGTAATTTTTTTCAAAAAGGAATTTCTAATTTCTCAACGTTAATCAAAGATAGCTCAAGCACAGGACTATGATGCTGAGTTATAGGCTGGGTGAGATTGGAAAGGGGTGGGGAGTGTTTTGGAAAGGGGAGGAAAATAAAATCTGAGATTGCTGGGGGCTTGGGCTCCATAGGGAGCTCCAGCTGGGCTAAGCCATCCTGAGGGGGGCAGGCAATGGGAAGTCCCAGAACTAGGCTGCCAATGCTACAGACACTCCCCTGAAAGCAGGTGAGAGGGGGAGGGGCCTCAGGAGACAGAATATCGTATCTTAATGACCTGTCACCACACCCTGGTAATTATAATTTGGGGCTTCCTATGAGGGGGCTCAGTGACTGCGCAGTGAAGGGCCAGAGCAGCCCCATCCCCCTGCCTGGGACGCAGTAGGATCTGCAGTCAGACTCACTCCTTCTGAGGATGGCAGGTACTTCCTAGGAAGGAGAGGTCTGGGTCATGACCCTAGGAGCAAGCTGGACAGGTCCCTTCTGCTCCCTTGCTTCCTGGGTTTCTGACCCAGAGGAAGGAGCTGTCTTATGGGGATCCCTTCTCTTCACTCTGCAGGTGGGGCAGAAGATGGTTCTTAGGAACCTCCTGCAACTGTGCTGATGGCAGAGGTACCCTCCATCTTAAACTTAAAGGCAACCCTCCCACCCAGGGTTCACCAGAGGGGAAATAATCTTAGAGGTGGGGGGAGATGTTCAGGCGATCAGCCGGCCTTGAGAATACAGCAATAACCAAGGCTGACCTACGACCTTAGAGTCCAGTCTGATAGAGGAGGAAAACAAGACGACAAAGGAAGAAGTCCTTGCAACACACTGTGATAGGTGGTGTGAGTGGAAGCCCAGGCCCTGGGAGCCCAGAAGGCATTGCCCCTGCAAGATGGTGTGGGTTTTCCACAGGAAATTGCAACCATAGGGCATTGTGAGGGAGGCCACATTCTGGCATCAGAAAGATCTGGGCTTGAGGTACTGGCATATGACTTGATCTCTGTGCAATTCTTTTCTTCCAATCACAAGGTGGCTGCCAGAGCAGGAAACATCTTTTCTGTTCTCTTGTTTGAGGAAAAATATCAAAGTTTTTATTTATTAATACGTATTTGGGACTTACTTTTTTTTTTTTTTACAGGTAATATGTATTTGCACATGGTAAAAATTCAAGCAGTACAAAAGTATATATGCAGCACATAAAGTCTGCTTGCCTTCAGACCCCCAGTCCCTCCCCAGGAACAACTGCCCTTAAAAGTTTCCATTTCCTAGCCCTGGCCGGGTGGCTAGGTTGGAGCATCCACCCATACATCAAAAGGTTGTGGGTTACTTAGATCGCTGGTCAGAGCACATACCTAGGTCGTGGGTCTGATCCCCGGTCAGGGTGCGTACTGATTATGTTCCTTATCAGCTGCTATTTTAAAAATGAGTGATATTTGATAGTACTGTCAACTCAGCCTCTATGGGAACAATTTGTCATATCAATCAAAACGAAAAATTCAACATGCCCTTTAAAGTTATTTCACGTCTACAAATTATTTTCGTGCATATGCATCAAAAAACATTGTTAAGTATTGAAAGGTAGAAGCCAAGCTCTCCGCCACGTTCTCCGCTCCTGCCCCGAATACGGCCCCCAGGGTTCGTTACGGCCTCGGTTACACCTTCCCGGCTCGGTCTTGCTCCCCAGCTCCGGCCTCTCACGTCTCCTCCCGGCCTTGCTCCCTGACCTCGTCATCATCCCAGCCAGGCCTTTCGAGTTTGGCCCCTGTCCCGTCCCCCTAATTCCGGCTTCGGGGCTCACCACGGTCCCCAGCTCTGCTCCTGCGCCTCCTGTCACTGCTCCAGCTGCGCCTTCGGAGCTCGGTCCGGGTCCCCAGCCCCGCCCGCGAGGAGCCTCCCCGTTCTAAAGCCCGCCCCCGAACCGCCCCGCCCTTAACCACGCCCCCGGGTCGTCACCGCCCTAGCCACGCCTTCCCCGCTTAGTACACCTTTCAAGTTAATCGTACGCGTCTAGTCCAAATCTCCGGGAGGTGCCCAAGCACGTACCCTTTGAAGGAAAGCTGAAACTTCGCCGGCCACCGGAGGCTGTGGCCACCTCCCTGCAGATACCCCACTGCCCCCGTCTCCGGAGGCGCTCCCAGGGCGAATCACCGAGTTCTTTTAGCCAGAAGTGGCAATGTGTGTCGGCGGGATCATGGCGACTCTTTCGGACTTGCCGGACTTGGTCCTGTTGGAGATCTTTTCTTATCTCCCGGTCCGGGACCGGATTCGCGTTTCCAGGTGCGGCCTCGCCCCGCGGTTGGGAGGTCGGGAGGGGAAGGGCTGGGCAGCGTCGGGGGTTATTCTAACGGAGGTCTCCTTTCTCAGGGTCTGTCATCGTTGGAAGAGGCTGGTGAACGACGGGTGGCTGTGGCGACACATTGACTTGTCCGTCTACACGGTAAGTGAGGTAGGCGGGGGTCTGGTGGCCCGAGCTCAGGGACCAGCCGTCTCACCCTGGATTTCGAGCCAGGTCGTCCGGGGCACATCCTGGGTTGTGTCTCCTACGTGTTCCTTTGCGACCTCCTGGCCTCAGTTTCCTCATCTCCAAAGCGGGGATAGCCGAGATTGTTCAGGGGATGGGCTTATTGTCTGAGAATTACATAGTCAGCATATGATAAATGCTGGTTGATGACTAGATTATCACTTATGATTATTATTATTGATGAGTTTTCATGGGAAAATCATTCTCCATAGTCAACTTATTTGCAGAGTTAATTTCCTGAGTAGTGCAACCGAACCATTTCCACTTCCTACCATTTGCATTTTTTTGTTTTTATTATGAACTATTTCAAATATATAGAAATGTATAGAGGATAAAATGGTTTCAGATAAACAGGTATCCACCTCCTAGATTTATCCTGTTTTCTTTGGCCTTATTTACTGCAGATAATATGAAACACACATATATAAATATAAATATATATATATTTTCACACTCACATTTACGGATATAGTTTTTGCACTTTTGGAAACCATCCTCAGTGGTAACTGCTATTATAAAATGAAATTGTAGCCTTCCTTTGGCATTTTTATTTACTTTCTATGTGTGTGTTCATAAGCCATATACAGTATTGTCAATGTGTTTCTAAAGTTTAGATAATGCTATTCTACTATATAGACAATTTAATGCCATTTTTCCTATACAGCCACCCACAACTACCTTTATTCACATGACATCACTTTTTAAAAAATTGATTTTAGAGAGACAGAGGAAGCAGGAGGGAGAGAGACAGAGAGAAGGAAACATTGATTTGTTGTACAGGTTCCATTCCTGATCAGGGCACATACCAAGGTTGCAGGTTCGATCCCAGTCAGTACATGTAATAGAAGGAACCAATCCATGTTTCTCTCTCACATTGACTTTTCTATCTCGCTCTCTCTCCCCCGCTTCCTCTTTAGAAACAATAATAATAATAATAAAAAAAAATCCTCCTTGAGTATTAAAAAAAAAGCTTGCAAAGTGAAAAGTTTTGTTTTGTAAGCTTGCACTAATTCATTTGGTGCCAAAATCTGACCTGAAGTGGTGTGAGGATATTAATGTCCTTTTTCTTATTCCACTTAGAATAAATAGTCTTATGTTATACTGAATAATATTAATCTGATAATGGGGTGCTGACGTAGACCCCAGTAATGGTGTATATGGTATTTACACCATATTAATTCTGAATTCTGAAACCCATCTGTCAACAAGGGTTAGGAATTGTTTTATTGAGATTACCTTTATAAAAATGATTATTTTTTTCTGTATTAGTTATTTTTTCCTGCCACCTTGTGAAAAATTTTAAACGTACATAAAAGTTACAAGAATAGCATGGAGAACACCAAGATACCCCACCCTTTATATTGGACTACATTTGTTTTATCACCTGTTGATCCATCCACCCATCCCTCTTCCCATCCACCAATCCATTTTATTTTCTAAATCCATTGCAAAATAAATTGCGGATAAAACAAACAAAAACAAAAGTAGTTGAAGTATTACTACAGATGAAGCTAAGAGCCTTTGGCAGTTGTTTCCTGGTGCCCTTAACCCTTCCCCAGTGTAACCAGGATTCAAAATATGCAAAAGAATAAAAGTGAAAAGGAATGTCTCCCCCCAACAATCTTGTCACCTGAGTCACCCTGGCTTTTCCCCCAGAGGCAGCAAATGCTCCCATTTTCTTTGGAATCTTTCTGGAAATATTCTCGGCGTGCAAAAACACAAACATCTATATTAAAAAGCAAAACAGGTGGTAGTGGCTATCTACATGTTAAATTTTAATAGAAATCACCAGATTGTGTTCCAAAGTAGCCAGACCAATTCCCACCAGCAGGGCTTGAGAGCTGCTTCTCCACATGTGGGCTAATATTTGATATCTGGAAACAAAAAAGATTTGTCCTTCAAATGTGCAGGTTTAAATTTGGCCAGGAAGATGTGATTTCTCTGTCAAAAATAGTCAACAAAATTTATGCTATGTGTTTTCTTTCTTTCTTTCTTTTTATTTATTTATTTATTTATTTATTTATTTATAGGTAAAATGTACATACAATGCAATGCACAGTGCTATCAGTTGTTTTGTTTTCTAAGTCTAACTTCCCAGGGTTAATTTTTTACAGCCTTTGCTATTGCCAGGCTGTGATATTTTTTTAAAAAGATTTTACTTTATTTTTAGAGAGCAGGGGAGGGAGGGAAGAGAGGGAGAGAAACATCCATGTGTGGTTGCCTCTCGTGTGCCCCCAACTGGGGGCCTGGCCTGCAACCCAGTCCTGTGCCCTGACTGCGAATCGAACTGGTGACCCATTGGTTTGCAGGCTAGTGCTCAGTCCACCGAGCCACACCAGCCAGGGTAAGGCTGTGATTTTTTTTAAACCTAGATCTAATGTTCCCTGGGCTATTTTAGTCTTTTTCAGCTTTCTTATATGTTGATTATTTCTTTCCAAGGTGGTCATTGAAAAAGGAATAAAAATCCTGGTTACGTACTCCAGAACATAAGAGAACCCACTATGTTGCTAAAGACAGATCTGTTATGATCTTTTTCTTTCATTGCTTTTATTCAAATCTGGAAGTCAAAGTGTTGGGATTAAATTGTTTTGTTACCCCCGAGAAGTGTCTGGGCAGGTGAAACTGGTGGTGGAAGGACAATTCCAGGGGAGCAGCAGAACCCCCACTGGGGCTTGTCTGACTCTGCGTAGGTGGGGACCTTGGAAGATCCCTTGTATGTCTCACCTAGTCACTTCTATCTTCGGTTCTTACAGGTGCGGCCTAAAGTCATATGGCACCTCCTTCACCGGTACATGACACCCCGACTCCATTCCCTGCACCTGGGTGGCTACTTGCTCTCAGGCTCCCAGGCTCCCCAGTTGTCCCCAGCCCTGATGAACGCCCTGGGCCAGAAGTGCCCCAACCTGAAGCGTCTCTGCCTGCATGTGGCCAACCTGAGCATGGTGCCAGTCACCAGTCTGCCTTGCACCCTGAGGACGCTGGAGCTGCACAGTTGTGAGATTTCCATGGGCTGGCTCCTTGAGGGGCAGGACCCCCCTGTGCTGCCCCTCCTGGAGTGCATGGTGCTGTCTCGCGTTCCTGCCTTTCGGGATGAGCACCTGCAGGGCCTCACACGCTTCCGTGCCCTGCGCTCACTGGTGCTGGGCGGCACCTACCGGGTGACTGAGACGGGACTAGATGCAAGCCTGCAGGAGCTGAGCTACCTGCAAAGGTTGGAGGTGCTGGGTTGCACCCCCTCAGCCGACAGCACCCTCCTGGCCATCAGCCGCCACCTCCGAGATGTTCGGAAGATCCGAGTGACCATCAGAGGCCTCTCTGCCCCTGGCCTGTCCGTCCTGGAGGGAATGCCGGCCCTGGAGAGTCTGTGCCTGCAGGGCCTGCACGTCACCCCTGAAATGCCTTCCCCAGCGGAAATAATCTCTTCCTGCCTCACCATGCCTAAGCTGAGGGTCCTTGAGCTGCAGGGGCTGGAGTGGGGGGGTCAGGAGGCAGTGAGGACCCTGCGCAAGGGCCTGCCCCACTGTCTGGTCATTGTCAGGGCCTGCCCCAAGGAGTCTGTGGACTGGTGGATGTGACTCATCGCCTGTCCCTGAAGTGTATCAGTTTTTATTAATGAGCCCCGAGCCTTCTAGGAAGCACCTTGCAGCTGGCAGGTAATTAGGTTAGAGGGACCTGAAGGCCGCAGGTAGAGAGAAATGAGGCCTTGGCACCAGCAGATCATTGGAATTGTTTGCCAGCTGTGTGGCCTCTGTGACATCAGCTAGCCTGGTCCCCACGTAAGGGAATGGGGAAGACAATAGCTACCTCATGGTTATGTTGCAAAGCCTTACACTTTACTGGGCCCGAGAAGGTCCTCAGGGAGGGGTCATTCTCAGGGCAGTCCTCAGGAGCAGGAGGGATGCAGGAGGGTGTGCTTATGAGTCAGGGGAACCTGAAGGGTCAGGGCCCCTTAGGAAGCCTGAAAGGACTTCCATGTGCACCCACACATCTACACACTGATTATACCTGCGTGCATGGATTAAAATGTTAATGAATTGTAATTTTTTTTGTATGTTTCCTGAGTTTTCCACAATATATATTATTTGCTATTAAAGAAAAGCACTTATTTTTTTAGAAGAAGAGTGATCAGTTTATTCAACACATTTCTAAGCCCCTGCAGTTTTGCAGGCACCGTCCTAGGTGCTGGGTCACAGCAGTGAACCAAACAGGCAAGACCTGAGAAGACAGGGTGGTAAACAGGTGAACGCATCCAGGGAACAGTTTCAGAAACCAAGACAATAAACCTGGGTCATGTCATGGACACACGCATGTTTAGTACAAAGGGCTTCTGAGCCAAGACCCGAGCCATGTTGGGTAACCAGCCCTGGGAAGAGCT